AATGGCGGGGTTATCCAAGGTATTGTTCCAGAACCCCTGCTGTTTTTACTATATGTAAATGATATTTGCAACGTCATCACTTATGGCGAAATTTTCTTGCTTGTCGACGATATGAAGATAGTCTACGAATTCGAACTAGGAAACCTACCTGTAGCACTGAATAACATCACTGTCGAAGTAATGTCCTTATCTTTCTGGTGTGATCGCTGGAAAATGGAATTTTCAGTGGACAAAAGCAGTTATTCCACGCTAAACTGCAGTATTCTTTATGATACGCTCACGATTGGCGGTGTCTCACTCCCATATTCCCCTACAATAAGAGAACTCGGACTGCAATATTCTTACACTTTCAACTTCTCTGAACACACTTCCTACATAGCTGCAAGGGGAAACAAGTTCCTTGGCTTGTTGCTGAGAAATTTTATTCTCACGAACAGTAAGTTAGAGATATACAGAACTCATATTCGCCCAACCCTAGAGTACTATACACTTGTGTTCTCAAATATGCATAAACGTGACATTATCGACATTGAGAAAGTACAGCATCGATTTACCGAAAAACTGTTTGGGCCTTCTACGACCCTGAACTACAGACAGCGGTGTACACTCCTGCAGCTTGATCCTCTGTGGCTTAGCAGAATAAAATTCAACCTTGCTTTTTTGTTTACTTTGGTCCACAAACAAGCTGTATCCTCTGGCCAAGTTCAGTTCAGTATAAACTCAACACATCAGCTGCGCAATAGGGAACACCGTATAATGATCCCTACTTCTCGGAAATCCTTGGGGCAAAACTTCTTCCTTCTGAAGTATGCAACTTTGTGGAATAAATTCCCAGCTGATATCCGTTCCCCAGACTCCCTAATTATGTTTAAGTCTAGACTACACGTAGCGCTGGACATCCAAAAACTGATTGCTCCTATAAATCCTTAACACTTTTGATAGAGCTTATGAGGAAAGCTTTGGATGCTAACCAGAACCCTTGGTAATCTAGGATGGGGCACACCATACACCGTAGTTGCCATCACCTAAGCGTAAACCTACCAGGTTACAATGCCTAAACATAGTAACTCTCATGACTGAGGCCATTGCCTCAGAAGTCGCATTTGATTATTTGAAATACCACTGAAAGCATGAAAGATAGTTTTCAAACATTCCCAGTGCTGTTTTTTATTTAGTCTTCTCCTTTGTCTCTAACCCAAGAAGCAGCACCTGTCAGAAACCTCAACTTCGATCTGGTGGTCACAATAAGTCACTCACAGCTCAACTTCCGTCCCTATCACAGAATTCTAACATCCTCCATGAATGGCCCATATAACATTTGATACTTAGCTAGCAAAACTACAAACCATCTGTGGATCGTCCCGACGAATCACGCTGTTAGTGCTGCAAGTTGTACCCCATCTTTGTGCAGACTGGTGTTTTACTGAACATAAACCCTATTGAACAATCGCAGGATGTGGGTGATTCTACCTCTCCCTGCATTTTTTGTCCCATGTAAACGGCCTGGGTGCTCTGATTTCACGGATAAGGCGAGTGTTAGCGCGGCACTTCTGTCAACATTCCTGGCCGTGATGGTCTACTTGCACATAATTTACCACCAATAAGACATGACCACCAAAAAGTAGAGATTGGCATAAAAGTGAGAAAAAATACCCCACTTTTTTGTCTTCCAGGCACACCAGCCTTGTCACATGTAACTCATGTCTCCGGGTTGCAGTGTTGCCACGGATTAACTGGTGTGATTGACCTATTCCCAACACGGCTTGCTACATGCGGTCCATGTTTCGGCCGGGGCATGGGAGCTCTGGTCGCCCACCAAAAGCAGCTCCGCCTTCTCTGACAGCCAGATACCTGACTGTGATAAAACCATTGAAAAAATAACAAAAACGTCTGAAAAAATATGGGTCATTCTTGGAGCGCCACGTGCTGGATGCCGGTGGTTGTGTATCGTGATACCTCCCTACCTAAGGCAGGCCCTTGTGCCGCCTACCATGAGCACCAAATGTAGACCGTTAGAGTTTGCATCCCTGAAGAAAATTCGGACCTATCTCATTCCCATTTCCCACGGCTCTCTAAAACCAGTCCTCACAGCGGTGTTTTCCTGCTTTGCAATACGATAACGACGAAAAAGACACCGCGGTAACCATGCAATCATGTCTACATCAGATTTCCTTGCTCCCACTAGAGCATAATCTCAGTACGGTAGCACCACCGAGCAAGAGCATAGATGAACTCACGTCAACGTTCCAAGGCACGTGACCAATTACCTCTAATGTATCACCACCGATACCCCAATAGTTTCTTCTACTTTAAGGCTCCTCAAAAACCATTCGGTATAGAAAAACCACTATGCCAGAAGAGACAGTAACAACATAGGGCGACGCCAACAGTGTGCCAGCCCCATTCGGTCAGTCTGTTATTTCAAATCTATCTTATCGCCTCGTTGCCAAACTGCCTTCTGCGTAAGAAAACAGTATTGAGGGTCACCATTTCTAACTGCTCTAAACCGTGAAGCCCTGGGTCTTTTATTAGTATCCGAGCGATGCCGTCTCAACATGCAAATCGTAAATCCTTTGGGATGCATACACAGTTGCCAAACCAGTGTACGCAACTTCGTATAACGCAAATCCACTGCGAGCCTATTTTACCTAGAATGTGGAGTAGGTGCCACTGACTACTCAAATAAAACTTCATCCATGCCCCACTCACATAGACCTAACCAGTTCATTATTTGTCTTCATCTATTATCATAACCCACAGCTGGAACCGCGTACAAACTTCAATCTCCCTTTATTTCAGGTTCGTTTTCGCCCACTATCTCAGTCGCCAAACCGGATAGCCAAGGATGCCACTTTGGCTCGTACCGACAGAGACTCAAGTGGAACCTACCATAGCAACTGTGACGGAAATCAAGCCGCCCGACAGGAAATACCCCTAATTGCTTATCAGGTGGTTCAGCGTTTTCAAACGCAACCAACACGAATTCCAGTTCACGCGCGTACTGCTAATATACCTCCACTCTCGGTCGATTGACCAACACGTACTTTGCCCTGCCTGACGAAACCTACCCATGCGATGTCGTACTTTACCAGAAATGACGCTGAATAACACTGAATGCAAATGAGTCAACATATACGTATATATTTGTCAGTGAAACAGCATAATAACGCTCAAGTCCATGCTCAGATTTTCCACTTTATTATCCGTTACCACAGTTTATCTTTCCCCCTGACGGTAGCCGGCCGATAATTGACTCTCCACTTCTCGAGGACCCTCCAGTTGGGCTTTCCCATTTCTGAATGGTACATGTTATCGATCCTCAATCTAAATTCACCATTTTATGGACTGCTGTATTTCCCACATCCACCAGTGTTCACTTTCACGAAATTGGTCCCGTCTCCCTTTTTCGAAACTCATTCCGTTTATTGAACTCCGGTAAATCCGTCATTCAGGGTTTGCATCGTCTTCATGGATCGCTATGCTCTTCGCATGCATCGACTTTCCAGAGAACACTTCTTTACAACTTTTTTCTTTCTTTTCTTCTTGTTCAAAATTTACTCCATCTGCGGAACCTTAGTAGCTTGCATCATTCTCGTTCATAAAGCTTCCTTGGCACTGCGCTAACGATTTTTAGATATCTCTTCCGCCCAGCCCCGACTCGAAACTGGTTCGAAACTGCCGCGCAAACCATTAATAAAATGACCAATCCAAACGGTTGCTGGCTATATTTCTCTATCGCTGATACTCTTGACTTTCATACTCAGAATTTGTGAATATTCCATCTTATTGAGTAACGTGTTACACCATTATCATGCGCTAGCGCGTGCGTCTCGACCATGGCCGGGAAATATACCAATATTACTAATATTACTGGAAGATTTGGAGGAACTACTCCGGACAAATTCTGCCGTGTGAGTGCCAAAATCCCTCGTTGCTTGCGGTACCCCAAAGTGTCTTCCAGGTTGAATCAAAGCCTCGAAAATATGGACGTTCCTGGAATTTGCGATAATGGTCGATCTAATATGGGACATGGCGGACGATGCTAGTTTGAAGGAACGCTGGCACGTAATGAAAGGGTCTCTACCTACGCCGCAAAACAAGCTTGCTCCTTTGAAACGTAGGAGGCGATACGGCAACCAAATGCCTTAGAGGGTGGCAATGGACAGGCCAGTCAAGCGCAGAAACCGCAGTTGAGCTCTCTTCAAGGCTTCCGAGAGTTGCAAGGCTTGGATTCGCTATGCCAAGCATTGAAGTGAGACACTGAACCTCCAGCAATCAGCTAAGCACATCTAAGAAATAAAGTTGGCCCAGTGTATCGGAAAGCATCCGTAGAAACACCATAGCTACGTGCATTCCAAAGGTTCTTTGAGAGATGCAGTAGGACTACTGACGACCCACGATCATCGAGTGGCAGTATACAACCAAAGCAAAGCAGGTGCTTGACAACATCTGTCGAGCGCGCATATATTTGCGCTGGACAGATATAGTCGTGCCAATTCTTGAGCCCTTTCGATACGAGACCTAGTTTGCCAAGCAAACTCATTTGACAGAAGCTCCGAGGTCGTCGTCAGCAGGACTAGATCCGCAGGCAGCCTGATCTCGCGACCCACGAGAGCGGCATGCGGAGTGCGGCGAGTCGATGCATGCATCATGGCCCGATGTGCTAGTAGGCATTTTCCTATCATTAGGCCCCATTTGTGAGTGGTTACTTCATCCGTGATAGCCTGCGGGAGACTTTCAGAGACCAGTTGGTTCCCTCTGTTCGTCCATTTTTCTTTGGGTGATAGGCAGTTGTGCGTGGTTAGGCGATTCCACGAACCTGACACAAGGCTACCATGACGGCTTTCTCAAAGCCGGATCCCCTATCAGAATCTAGCTCTTCCGGGGTGTCCCACTTGCCTGCACAATGGTCAGATATCGCTCGGGCTACCAAGGTAGCAGCGAGAGAGGGTAACGGGACAGCCTCGCACCATTTGGTAAAATAGTCCACCATGAATAGGATGTATCGATTTTGTCGGGATGTCTCTGGCAGGGGTCCCACAAAGTCTGTCCCGACGGGTTTTTCGGGTACGGTGCCAGCTTTGGATGCAGCGGTGCTTTATTGTGGACTTGGGGTGCCTTGGTACGAATACACTCGCTACATCGATCGCAGAAATTCTCCAAGTCCCGCCGTTGGTGAGGCCACCAGTACAGCGGAGACACTGAAACTTCCTTTTTGTGTTGACCTGTATGGCCCAATATCTGATGTACTTGTTCCAGCACACACGGTACTTTCCATTGGGGTACCAACAGCCGAGGACTGTAGTTTTCCCGTACTGGTAGTGCAACACTTCATTTCTGTTCGCCTTTCTCTCTTCTGTTCACTTTCCACCAATATCATACCTTCCTCTGACTCTCTCCACCATCCCTTCTCCACCACCCCCGGCCTTATTCTCCTTATCCCCCAAAGTTCCACTATCAACCCTTTATCTAAGTTCTACCTGCTTCTGTGACACTCTTGGGGGAGCTAGACTTGGAAAAGGACCCGGTTCGTAACCGTGTGACTGCTACAGACTCTCCTGACAGACGGCTGAGTCGGGGAGCTGTTTCATCTACAGAGTAAATAACAGAAACACAAAGCAAACACAGAAGTCGCATCCCGATGAAGTATCTCTGGAGGCTCAACGGTGCAAGAACCTGAAATGCTTTGTTGGCTTTAGCCTCAAGTCCTGTGACTTGAACTGGCTTGACCTGAACTAGGCTTCAGGACTTCAGGTAAGTTTAAGTCGAAGTTTACGCACGTTGCATACAGCATCAGTGAAAGCTCACGATGCCTATTGTCTCCCACTATTGACAACCTTGTGAGTCGTCGAGTGGTTTGAATTTTCGAATTTCTCTCGGTGATAAGCATTTTTGCATTGATTGACGAAATAACAATTTATTTCGCCCAAACTAACGTATCGTAATTATTATTCCGGTGAGAGTTCATTCTCTTCAGAAGGGTTTATTCTCTACAAAAACTGGTTGTGCGTTTTGATGTCCTCTTTGGTGTTGTTGTTGGTGTCAGTGAAACTGATACCGGATAACATTTTTTGTAGCACTTTTTGTGGTGTACTGCTTTTGTGGAACTTTTGTAGTGTGCAGATTTTGCAGCACTTGCTTTAGTGTTCCGTTTGTGTCGGTTTAAAAGGTTGTTTTATTATCCTACTGGTGTTCGACACGGTATTTTCAAACAAACCCGACCACCACTGCAGAAACGAATGGAACGCAGGCTGATCCTGTCGATCAAGCAGTGAGCTGTGGGAAGAAGGAGTGCACGGACCTGGTGCAATGAATTCAGTGCGACCAGTGTTGTCTTCGTTATCACCAGAAGTGCTCAAAGCTGGAAGAGACAGACTTTGAGCCGCGTATCAAGTATTCATCGCTCTAGTGGATATGCCTCCACTGCTTCGCGTTCGCAAGCGAGTGCTCGCGCATAAATGGAGGCAAACTAGAAAAAGGGGACAGGAACATGAAGCTGGAGCCAAGACTAAAGAGAGCGAAGTCGATCCATAGCTTAATGGGAGGGGAAAACTGTGTGCCAGATCAGAAAACTAAAAAAGGCAACCCAAGCCAAAAGTTAGATAAAACAAAGAGGCAGCAGGTTTCACCAGTGGGGAGAAAAGCCTCCTGACGGAAATAGACTCCCTCAAGGAGCAGGTTAAGTGCCTAGATACTGAAAAGCAACGCACGAAGCGTGACACTGACGTCATGGCAGACAGAGACAGAAGACCGCCACTTCATAACCCTAGGGATAACATTGTAAAAGACGGTAGAATCAGGAAGGACAAAAACCGCCGGTATGTGACCGAGGTTCTCAGGATAGATGGCCTACCTCCTACGGCACCAATGACCAAGTGCCATCGAATAGGGCCATGGCGTGCGACGGAACCTGTGCCGCCGCGACCCTTGACAGTTGTTTTCCACAGTGTCTACTGGAGAGATATGCTGCTGTTTAGGGCGGGAGCAGTTGAGGGCAGCACACAGGAAATTGTTAGGGTTATACCTGACAGCCCAGCATTTGTCGAACCGGGTAGTGCCATAGTCTGGCTGAGAGCGGGCACACCTGACCTGAAGCGGCCGACTCTCCATGCAGCGAAACTGGAGATGACCCTTCTTGGGAGGTCAACACCTAAGGCAGAGGAATATTTCAGGCCCCAATGTGGCTTTAGACGCCGGTAAACAAAAAGCCAAAGTTCAGGAAATTCAGAAGACCAAAAATAGGGGGACTCACAGGGCATTTAGTCCGGCTGGTGTTGAGGGAGTGCAGCCAGCCAGCCCGATCCTGAAAGAGAAGCCCAAAAATTCCTCTCTCGTGCAAAGAGCGAAATTTGAGGTATCAGAGGGGAAAGCCGAGGAGACCAGTTGGGCTGAGACGGTCGCAAGACCATTCCGGGCCATCGGTATGGGGACCCAAAAGGGAGGAAGGTCCGCTGTGCATGTTGAGCCCGACACCGTGTCGACGGTTGGGAAAGAAAAAGCCACGGAACTCAGAGCGCCACTTGATATTCAAGATGCTGCATCGCAGACAACCATAGAGGCATGAAACGAGTTATCACCTTATAGATTGCGCCCGAGGGTACTTAGCTGCAAAATTAGCAATAAAGTCAGTAACGAGGACCGGGGAACCGTCAATATGGTACACCAACACCTGCAGCCTCCCAGGAAAAAGGGAGAGTTGACGACTAGGATTGCTGAGTCTGATGTCTTTGCATAGACGGAAACTTGGGCAAAGCCAGATACTGACATGCACTCCCAGGAATAAACTTCCACCAGACAGGATAGAACAGATGGAAGGCAGGGGTGCTGAGCAGCACTTCTAATACGGACCGATATAGGCCATTGGGAGGCCCGGTTCAACTTGGTCTCTGTCCATGTACAGACTAGGTCCTGCTTTATCAGGTTCGAGGTGCAAACAGCGTGCAATATCTGTATTCACAGGGGAACTGCTAGCGATAGACGAGGAAGACGTTCAGCTCTTTGAAATGCCGGATAGGGTGCTGGCACAGACAAACGAGTTCGTCTTATTAGGGGATCTCATCCTGCCGGAAATTTGCTGGGAAAGCAGGACCGCACCGAGGGGATCAACGGGTGGCGGGTTTCTGCAGTGGGTCCAGTTACATGCACTTACGCAGCATGTGACACAGGCCGCTAGACACAGAGTTAGAGGGCGCCCGCCTCTCCTTGATTTAACAATACCGCGGCACCATCAGGAAGTTAAAGAGATCAAGTGGGAAGAGCCACTGGGCGAAAGTGATCAGATAGCACTAAGGGTCACACTAAGACTTAACAAGGCGCCGAAGGAAGTCGTGTTACGTCGGCGCTGTAGGAGAATCAACATAGGTGAACTAAAGAGGGCGGTGGAGGAAGTTCAGTGGACACCGGGGCACAAGAAAGCCTACGTAGCGGAAAGTTGGGGGTCCATCAAGGTGGGGCTACTCGAACTTACAGAGCAGTTTGCACCGCTGAGGGAGGTTAGCAATAGAAATCAACCCCGTGGTGAAAGTCAAAAGTCCGCAAGGCTATAGTCATTCGTAGGCAACGACAGGCGGTGTACAGGCTACACAAAACTCAGAGGGCAAGAAACAGCCATAATATGGCTAGGAACAGAGCTCAAACGATCCAGAGAGTGGAGAAATGTGTCATCGAGCGTCGGTTAGCTGCGTCGGTCCGCACAAACCCAAAGCGGGTCTACGCCTGCGTGCAATCCCACAGGTGTATGAGAGAAAGAGTAGCAACTTCGGAAAGAGCCTGGAGACGACTAGCTCCAAACGACGGGGACAAGGCTGACTTGCTTTTGGCATTCTTCAAGAGCGTGTACCGACCAGAAAATAATTTAGAGGAAAGAATGGGGGACCCACAGGCGTCTCCAATACCAGAGCTTGCTGTAGGAGTAGAAGTGTACGTGGAGTCGCAAACCTTGACTGGGAATAAAGCGGCAGGACCAGATGGGATTCGTCCGGCAATCGTTCAGCCTCTGGCCGAGGCCCTCAAGGCTCGGGCTACGAAGCTGTATGAAACTTCACTCAGATAGGGAATTGTGCCGGGAGACTGGAAAAGGGCAGCAGTGGGAGGAATTTACCACAGCGGACCCCGACAGAAGGCTGAAAATTACCGACCGGTTGGCTTAATTTCGGAGGTGCGTTAGTGCCTGGAGCAAATAGTCGGGAAGATCTCTAGGCATTTGGTTCAACACAACCTCATATCAAATGCTCAGCATGGGTTTGTGGCAGGGCGATCCTGTCTGACGAATCGCCTGCTGTTCCTCGGTGAGGTAACCAAGCGCCCGGAAGAGGGGCAGTCGATGGCGGTCTGCTACTCGGACTTCAGCGAGGCGTTCGATTCTGTGAACCACAGATTTCTGGATGTCAGACTGCAGTCTATGGGAATTGTTGGAAAGGCAGGACAATGAACAGATAGTTTTTTTAGCAGGGCGAACTTTTAGTGTTAAGGTGGGGAGTCATGTCTCAAAACCGGAAGGTGTAACAAGAAGGGTGCCACAGGGCTCGGCGCTCGGCCCTCTGCTCTTCCCCATCCCCATCATTGGCCTAGCACGTGACCTTACAACATCCACCGTTATGTGTGCCGATGACGTCAAGATAGCTGGAGTAGATACAGAACTCGACGTGTTAGCAGTACAAAGCTGGTCTCGCAGATGGGACCCTCCACTAAACCTCACCAAGTGTCAGTGCTTAACCGCAAATACAGGGGCTGTTGGAAATGGTATGGGTTCGTTGCAGGAGGTCTCTCAGGTCAAGGACTTGGGCTTTAAAATGGACAACAGCTTCAAGCCGTCGGAGCCGTGCACCGCAGCAGCCAATATGGCCAGGAGTAAACTCTTTCGAGTTAGATCCATTAGGTCGTGTAGAGAGCCGGAGATTTTCGTTCCGATATACCAAGCCGTAGTTAGGCCGTATATGGGGTACCGCGTGGAAGTCTGGGCGCCGTACTACCAGAAAGATATGGACTGTCTGGAGAAAGTGCAAGGGCTAGCCACTAGAATGGTGACTGGGCAAAGGGCTTTAGCTACACAGAACGTCTCCGTGCCCTAGATCTTTTCTCGGTGGAAAGGCGGCGCGTTCGCGGGGATTTGATAGAAAACTTCAATGTAATGAAGGGACCGTCAGGAATGAATCGAGAAGATCTTTTCTCTCTGGTCCCCGAGAGAGATACAAGGGGGCATAGCCTTAGACTATAAAGGAAGCATTCGAGGCTCCATATTAGGGCGAAGTACTTCTCAAATAGAGTGGTACCCTATTGGAATAAGCTCCCGGAAGAGGTCATAAATACCACAACCGTGAAGGCTTTTAAGAAAGCAGTAGACATATGTTGGGTGGCAGTATACCCCGAGTTATGTTAAGCAGCTTTTAGGGTCAGATGCAATTTACTTATTGTTTCCACCTTACTCTGCCCGGGCTGATACTGCACAAAATTTCTGCCTTTCAGAAAAAGAAAATCACGCAGTGTTGGGAGCTACGGAAACGCGCCGACAACACAACTATCTGGACACACGATTGGCTCTAGCCACACCAAGTCCTGTGCAAACTGAACTGAACTGAACTGAACTGAAGACACCGGAACAACATCGGCCTCGAGGTTGGTTCATTACTGTTTTGTTCTCTTCTCCAGTTTCTTGCTTCCTCAGCGTAAGAGGTGTATCTGTTCTTCCATAATCTGTGTCAGTATAATTCAGAATCCAAAATAAGACGAACTGTCAGCTGTATTGCGGGCACTTTTCAATGTGTGTGGTGCCGAACACGAAATCCTTGTTTTACACTCGCGGGTATATTCATGCTAGTCGAAAGTTTTGTATCAAATAGTATTTTCACTTGGAAAGTCAAAGACTCAGTGAGGAGGCGGTTTTATGGCATATTGTTTTCAAAAAATCTGGACTTGGTAGCTTTTTCGTGCCGAGTTTGGTATTTCCGTTTCTCATATTCCAAATCCTGAGATCTATTCAGTTCGAAAGCTGACCTAGAACGCCTGGTTGCTCTCATCCCATGGGTGCCCAGTTTTCTTCGTCACGCGTAGCTGTCATTCAATTAATACCGTAGCTGGTTACCAGTTATAGCCGAAAATGACACAACGGCATAGAGAAACACCAGAATCACCTAACGGGGTTTTCATACGTACGTTGACGGTATATGGGCCCAAACTTTGACAAGTAGCGCCTATGCTACATACCTCAACTAAAACGATGCTGCAGAGATTTCAGGTATGTGGATGGCACTAACATCACTGATAAATTCGCGTCACAATGGTCACCAAACCCTGGTGATCCCAAAGGGCCCGGCCACCACTGATGAAACGGAGATCCATCACCCACACCCACAATGCACGCTCATGTACATACATACTCAGACACGCGCACTGTTTGACACCTAATGGCTTTACATTACTATCCAAAGATCGTTCCATGGCAAAAGGTCTTGAGGAGGGTTGCTCGCGGTAACGGCCCTTGTAGCAAAGGCGGTTCAAAACTGCTCCAAAAGCGATCGGTTTTCGGTCGGATTTCGATCGGATTCTACTATTACGCCGGTTAGTTTTCGATCGGTTTGTTTAGTAGCCATTTTACACGGATGAACAATGAATTGATACGAGGGAAATTAGGAGATAGAAAAGAGCATCGTAATACGTAATTTGCGTTAGTGAAATAAACCAAGGGAGTATATCACGTATTTCAAACGACTGACACAAACCGCTCAGAAAGCGTCCAGAAAATCGGCCGCAAACCACTCAGCAACCGATCGGCGTAGTAACAAAAACCAATCGAAAACCGGTCGGTTTCGGATCGGTTTCTGGCCGATTTACAAGCGGTTTTTGCGAATTGTTTGAAATACGTGATATGCTTCCTTGATTAATTTCACTAACCCAATTTACGTGTTATGATGCTCTTCTCTATCTCCTGATTTATGATTTTCCGAATAATTGTCCTTTTCCCCCATTTTCGAGGGAATAAAATAGTTCGATCTATGCTAAGGTTTTCAGGACTTTTCGATGAATGAAACCAATACATTTAAATAAAACACCAATTAAGCATTGCACATTACTTCGGTCGTCAATTGCCTTCGTATCAATTCATTGTTTATCCGTGTGAAATGGCTGCTAAACAAACCGACCGAAAACCGATGTTACGAACGGGCTGGGTGCTACAAGGGGGGAATGTCGACTGACTACAATCATTCAGGATAACTGTTTCCGAACATTAGACGCCTACGTATAATATATTATATGGCCCGTCGTTTTTTCGATGCGTCAAGCCGGTTTTAGCTCCCATAAATTCAATTGCTTTTCAATGCACACGATAGTTCCACGTAAACTAACATTACCGGAAGATTAGTTAAGTGTATGTGGATTATTCTCCGTTTCTTGGGTTTCAGATACACAAAATATCTTCGTAGTTAAATAACTAATATGCGCCCGATCGATGGTAGTCGAGTGGTTTGGAGCATTTACTTACTGTTTCGAAAGTCAGCGGTTCGAATCCCACCACCGATGCCGGTCACTTTGGTGGCAGACAGTAACCCGCTTTCGTCCGGCTCATTACGGCACCTGATTTATTGAGACCTTATGTGGTTCTCTGCCACTCCAAGTCCCAAAGTCTAATTTCTAGCTACCCCTCATAGTACACTGGGCCTTTGAGGCTATGGGGTTGATACGTACGGTTCGCAACAGACGATGATATCTTTATCAGAGAAAACGAGATTCGGCGTTAGGAATGTTACGCTTTACTTGACTAACAATGGAAGTACGTGATCTGAAATAGGAATGAATACAGCGTACGGTATGTAAATAAGGTAGAAAAACAAGGAAAATTACACGACATTCACCCTGCCGGAAAATTGAGGTTTTCAAAGCGTTTTTCAGCAGGATTTGGAATACTTATCAGATCGTTTGTCTAGACCTCTCGATTTCATACACAGTCTGAACGTGTTCTCCGTTGTCTTTCTAACAGTTCTGTGGGGTTACTGGACAACGGGGTGATGAGTAATGATACACTGTTTATTATGTACGACTATGTTGGCAGACTGATACTAATGAATGATCTGCATGTGGCGTGGCTCGGCTGACTGTTATAGGTGGTTGGGATTTGGGTGTTAATGCCGGTGTCACTCCGAGAGGCCAGACGACGAATGGAAACACTGTCTCTGCCACCAGACAGTTTTAAAAAAGTGTAGTATGGATTGAACCTAATAAGGTCTACTTCATCCACCAAGCGGTCATACCTGGAAGATCGATCCGTATTTTTGAGCAGTACAGCGCCAGGAGTTGTCAGCCAACTAGACATAGAACAACCACTAGATGAGCAGCGGGTAAATCAGAAAACACGTTCATGAAGGGTTGTGTTTGTTGTGGCACAAAGTAATGAACGGATGGAGTGAAGTGAATTCAGAAGAACTGAATCCCATTGTGAAATTTGAAGACCTCCTGTTCGTAGGGCCAGGAAGATGGCTTTCCATAAAATGCCATTCAAACGTCCCACTTGGCCGCTGGCTTGTGGACTATAGACTGTTGTATGGCTGATCGCTGCTCCTTTGTCTCGAAAAATGCCTCAGTATGGTCGGAGTGGGTGGCTCAGGTTCCGAGTTGGCTGCTCGCCCTGAACGCCTCTCGAAATACTTCCAGATGAACACGCGTACCAAATGGCTTCTGCTGAGGAAGTCCTACATACTACCTTCTCAGGGCGGAGGCGTTTTTACACAAATGTGAGGGCGAAGGTGAACGCCCGGCGTTCTCCACCGCGTTGACTGACAAAGTCAGTCTATGGGAGATGGCTAAACCTGCTTCCAAACCAACAGACTTAGTGAAAATTTCGAAGACATTAGGTTTTGGTCTTCGTCGCACTTCCCATTTGGTTTTCTTGATTACAGAGCTTCAAAACGCCATACTTCGTCCTAACTTCCTGTATCACTTCGACCTCTTTGTTGATTCTCGCCGCAGACGTCTTGTGGATCGTGTCACCAATCTGTCTGTGAATGGCATTTCGGTTGATTCTAACCCGATCAATCTTGTTCTACTTAAAACGACCGGTTCTCACTTGTTCGGTGACGTATTAAATGCATACCCAAAAGTGTTGCTCCTACCGTCCGTGTTACCTGCCGTTACTAGTTCGGTAGATCATCACATTAGCACATCAAGCCCTCCAGCTTTTACTAGGGCACATCGGCTTTCACCCGAAAAGCCTAAAGTCACTCGAGCTGGGTTCGAGCACATGTCTGAATTGGGTATTATTCGGGCATCATATAGTCCCTGGGCTTCACCAATTCATATAATTCCTAAAAAGTCAGACGATTGGCGACCATTTGGAGACCATAGAGCCCTCAATAATACCACTATCCCAGATAAGTATCCCATCCCACACATTCAGGACATCACGGCCAACCTCAACGGTGCTCTTATGTTCTCCTAGATAGATCTGGTACGTGCTTATCACCAGATTCCTAACACAGTTGATGATGTACCTGAGACAGCGGTAACAACATCCTTTGGCCTTTTCGAATTTCCACGAATGCCGTCTGGCTTACACAAAAGCTGCACAAAACCTTTCAGCGTTTTATAGACCAGGTTACTAGGGTTTTAGATTTGTTTTCGCCTACATAGACGATCTCCTAGTAGTTAGCGAATCTGAAGATGCACACATGCGTCACCTACATCAGTTGTTCGAGCGCTTGGCCGCACATGGTATAACCGTCAATGGGGACAAAAGTATCTTTGAGCAAAATTCAGTTGAGTTTTTAAGTTGCATGATCGACGAACGTGGTATTCGGTCCTTGGTAAAAAGGTACAAGCCGTTCGTGACCCTCCGTTACCTACTTCACTAAACGCCGTTCGGCGTTTCAACGGGATGGTAAACTATTATCGGCGTTTCATCCCAAACTGTGCTCACTTGCAGCCGTTACCACATTTACTTTGGGGAGCTGAAAATGGTGCCATAAAATTATCCGAGGATGCTAAAACTGCCTTCAATGCAGCTAAAGACGGTAATGAATCGACAACGTGCTTTCAATACCGATCACAGAATAAGAGACTCGCCTGGAAGCAAGGCTTCAACCGACTTGTCAATTGTACATATAGCTGAAAAATAAAGTGCAGTAACAATAAGAATATGCGGGAAATGAACAACAACACAAACAGTAGAAAACCAATTCACAACATTCTTCCCTGGGGTATGGAATTGTTTTTACAGGCAGTGGGGGATGAAGAGTAAAGTCAGTTCGCATCTGTTTATATATGCCCTTAAATAGAAAATTACGCTTCGCGATTTCGCAGACAGTATGGACGAACTCTCTGTTGCTGCTGGAGGAGGCTTTCTACGGATTTCTGTTCTAAGTGAGGTTCTGCGGGAGCATCGTTTTTGAAGGTACTCTGGTTGGGCAATGACATCGATGGTGCTTCTGGCTCTATGTCTGGTTCAAGATTGATCGTGTCGTCATCGTGAGCAGCAGAAGCTAACTAACGTAACAGAAATGAATCTTCGCAACCGTTTGGAAGACATTCTCGAGCGTAACTCAGATTGCATTCGAGCAGTTCCACTTCTTCTACACAAGGGTCGTATTTGGAATATCGGTTGTACTTCTTCAATAACATCCGTTTAA